GAAGGTGTCCTACCAACCTATCTCGCCTATTTCTTATTGACTTCCATAGAGTCCTCTGTTCTCCTATTCTTTCCAATACCTCTTCATTTCTAACCTTTTCTACCCACGTTATCCTCATCATCCGCCTATAACACCACATTTCGAAGGTTTCTAACCTTTTCTTTTCTTCCGCGCCTGGTGTCTACGTTTCGCACCCGTACAACGCCGTGCTCCAAACATACACCTTTAACAACATTTTTCGAGTTTCTAATACCTACTAAAATACCTAGTAAATTTATTTCTGATAGAATTTTATTTTTACAAATTCTGGTCCAAAATGTAATTTTTATTATTATGTAACAGGATAGTGGGATAAATTGTAAATATCCTTTAATACTACGGTAAATTTTCTTTTCCATTTTCTCCTTAAAGAGGAGAACTAAGGTCAAAATAAAGTGGGCGTTATTAAACAAAAAAAACCGGCCCAGTGCAAGTTGGATTCGCGCATTGAGAGTTTCGTATTTTTTGTGATATGACTACAAATTTACAGTTTTCGGATTTTTCCCTTTACTTGTGTTATAAGACATTACTTCTTGTCACATTTCATGATTCTAGGTTATCAGGAAGTACTCGATAGGTTCTGATTCTTTTTATTGCGTCAATTGTTTACAGCTCTAAGAGATTGTAGACCTGATTATTTGATATTAATTTCAACTTGAGTTCTTGAGAATAAGCGTCTTGACAAACAGGCAGATAGACAGACAGACAGACGGACAACGAAGTGATCTTAAAAAGGTTCATTTTTCCTTTTGAGATAGGGAACCCTTAACGACAACAAACAAACCTACAGGGAAATCGACTGAATCACTGTAGAACTTAATTAGATAAACACTAAAACACTACATATTCCACAAAATGTTTAGTTATATAAGTGGCGTTTCAATACCCAAGGAACCATTCTCAGTTGGAAACTAGGAAACCAGATAACTCAGAATGAAAAAAGGTGCAAAAACAATGGAATTCGAAAAAGATTGTTAAATAATGTATGTTTAGAGTTCGGTTCTGTACGGGTACGAAACGTAGACGGTGAACGCAGTGTACAAGAAAACGTGTAGGGTTGTGGTGTTATGGGCGAATGATGAAAATACTATGGGGTAGGATAACAGAGGGCGATATACATATAAGTCAATGAGAAAAAAGGTAGAGACATAATGGACTAGTTATTAGAGATATATTAAAAGCAGTAGAAAGCGAAGAACACAAGGCGAATACACTAGAAAATGCACACAAAATGCGGCAGATTATTTTTATTTAATTAAATTAATTAATATATATCGTTATACTGAAGAGTTTAGGTTAGAGAATGATGAAGAACTACCGCTCCTTGCAGCAATATTGGAATATGAAGAAAATTTTGCAAGTTGTTTTTGACACAGAAATTAGAATGGAAACATTTAGGCTGGATCCACACTATAAGGTCGATCACGGTTAGTTCGCGACCTGATCTCGATCAGGTAAAATCTAATCATCAATCAATTAAATTTGATGCAATTGTCGCTTCAACGGGTAATAGTTGACTGAATCGGGAACAAAAGAACATTCATACTATCGATACATGTCGTGATAAGTTCAATCTCACTCAAACAAAATTTCTTTAAGACTGATCGCGACTGGAATAGGATTCGACTGGAACTTGACTGTTACAGATAGTATGAATGCACACATTGTTTTTCATTTGATAATATTTTACCAGACCGAGATCTAATCGCTCGAACGAACCGCGATCGACCTTATAGTGTGGATCCAGCCTTACAAAAATCGTCAAAACAGTTTGTGTTTCCACATCTTTTGCATATAAAAAATGCAAATATTTTCGTAATCTTATTATGATGATCGTGGGTTTAACAAAATTAACTTCTAAGACTGATAACGACAAAAACTATTTATTTACATTAATTATTAAAGAACTTAAAAACACTATTAAATTATTGCTAAACGTAGGTTATGAATTATTCTATTGATTTACACTACTGTTGATATATCACTATCCACTGCGCTATTTATTTCACTATCAATTTATTTCTGGATTCACTTCTGTAACGGTCAATTTATTTCTCCTTTTCTCGGCGATCGTCTCTTCCTTTAAGTACTCTTTTGTTTACTTTCGGGAACCTTCTGGAAACAGCCAGATAGTTTATTTTTTCCTGTTTAACTGCTTTCCCAGAACGCAGGTACGACACACACATTTACAAATACGGCGCACATGAAGAAAGGCGCCCGCGGCGAATCGATAAGCCGTTCACGCACACGTGTGCCCGATCGCACACAAACACACTCGTGCTCGCCACACTATAATGTATTGTTTTACTTCACAAGCTCTTGGTAAAACCTTCCGTTTCACCAAACTAAATTGCACGCGATCAGCGATCAAATTCAATATGCAGCGTTGGAGCGTTAATACAATTTTACCGCGGTGACAGCTTGGGAGATCGCGCATCACGGTGCGGACCGCTGGTAAGCAAGTAAATTAAGAAGTAGAAAATAATTACAAAAATATTCATGTACAGAATCACTTCCGTGCACGCGAACAGTTAATTGGAAAATTCGAAATAGACTATTAAAAGTCAATCACCGATTAAACCGAAGCGAGTTGATATAATATCAAGTTGTTGTCAGTATATTGCAATCTACTTTTATTTACTGCTTTTGACAAGGGCTTTACGAACATATCATCTTGTCAAGTTGATAAATAACGTTAAGCCCTTGGTCGGCAATTTATCGAAACTGCCAGATGCAGAATGCGCTTTCGGACATATTAGTTCTCAACAGCACACCAGGGATGGCTCCTATAAATCATCGTCCAAACCGAAATTGAGCCGTAAACGCAAGTAAGTAGGTATGTATTGCCAATAATTTTATATTGCGTCAACTTGTTTTTAAGGAATAGAACAAAGAAAAGTTCTTGATCAACCGTCAGATGTGGATCACTATCTTGATTTCTTTAGATCCAGAGAGATAGAAAGTACGATTAGTACACCTATGAATGGTTGATGCTACACTAACTAAGCATTCAAGGAAAAGTTATAAAGTTGTTAATCAGTTGTCTGCCGGAACCATTCGACGTCGATTGCGATTTCGATCTCATTGGATTCAAACAGATCGAAATCAACATATCATAATTTCTATAAATCATCAGCCAAGTCAAAATTGATCCGTAGAAGTAACTACTGTCAATTATTTGATCCCATATCAACATACTCTAAAGGAATAGAAGAAAAGTTATTGATCAACCGTGTGGATCGCCATCTTGATCTCTTTAGATCTAGAGAGATCGAAAGCACGATCAGTACATATATGGATGGCTTGATACTATAGTAACTTGCTCTCAAGAAAAAGTACAGAAGTTGTTGATTAGTTATCTGTCGGAACCATTCTACGTCGATCGCGATTTCCATCTATTTGAATTCAAACAGATCAAAATCAAATAACTTGATGCCATATCAACATACAATAAAGAAAAAGTGCAAAGGTTTTTGGTCAGTGATCTGAAACTTGGATACAAACACATCGAAATCACATTCAGCGCATCATAGACAGTTTCTATAAATCAGTAACCAACTCGAAATTGATCTGTAAAAACAAGTATTGTCAATAATTTGATACATATCAATGTGTTTTCAAGGAAGAGAACAGAAGTATTTGGTCAGTGGTCTGTCTAAACCGTTAGACGTGGATTGGGATATTGATCATTTTGGATATAATGAGTCCGAAATCAAAATCAGCACATCATAGATCATCATCATCATAAGATCGTCAGTCCTAAGACTGGTTGGACACGCACCTCCACTCTTTCCTATCCTCAGCTAATCTTCGCATTTCCCTAAAACTAGATCATCCCACATTCTTAACTACTTGCCAGCAGTAATCTACCTCTACTCCTCTTAACTCCTGTTTCTGCC